CATCACTGGTACTAAAGCCAGCGGAGATTGATCGAGAGCACTTCAGCCAAATACACTCATGTCTTGAGCGGGGAATCTGGCCATTGCCAGAACTCCAATATATACAATCTACAAAATATCGCGAGCCCACTGCCGTATCAACCTTCTTGGAGGATTATATGGATGGGTGGTGCTTGATAGGGATTGTGCAAGAGGATTTGGATGATACGTAAGGTTCTAGTGACATTTGGAGAATTTTTCTGGGCTAAGGTCTAGGACAAATGGGATGGTGAGGTCATGATGTGCAGTTTTGTTGGTTACATAGAAATGAGCATCGACTATTGTTGGAAGGACTTTTGATTGGAAGGATTGGATGTGCTTGATGTCAGTTCTAGTCCGTAAGTCCAAATAGTTTTCAGTATTGTCTTGTAGATCAGTAACTTTTTTTCAATGGAAAGTTTAGATTTTTCTTTAGTACAAGAGATTAAAATAAAAATGAAAATTGACGATTTTGAAGATCTGTAACATTAAATTGACTAACTGATTAACTTGCAGATATGATTTCATCACTATTCCAAATATCACTCTCTTATTTATATTTTTGAAAATTAAATGTCAAAGCAGTTCAACGATGATTCACGACCTAACGCTCACTGTCCTTGAATTTAAAAATACTTCTTTCAACACGCTCGTATTTTGAACACAAACTTCTTCATGGATGTTGATCGACCAGAAATACAATCTTAAAATAATTATATTTTCAATTTCACTATAAACAGATTTACTTATTTACTTATTGATATAGATTTCTTGAGCACAAAAATACACGCCGGTCAAATGAATTTATTTTATTTGTGGCTTGGTCTATTTTCATATAATTTAGTCTGCAATTGTAATATTACCTTTATTTTAAATTATATATATTTTTATGTTTAAAAATTGTTCATATCTATATTTGCATTTATTTAAATTTGACAGTTTGACGACATATACGAAAAATATACCTTAACAATATCCAGTTTAAAACTTTCGAACATCAACAAAACATATAATAAAATGTAGCTCAAATAATATAATACATAATACTATTAGTATTATGTATTATACTATATATTGTAGAACAAACTTTCTGATTCGAATAAATGTTTTTAAATGTTAATAAGATGTTTAGAAGAATTTTAATTTTCTAATTTTCATAAATATATAAAGTATCGTTTTGTAATTACCAGTTTAAAAATATTTAAATAATTTATTGCCGTAGGGAATTTTATTTTTCTTATGTTCCAATCTTACAACAGAATTGAGCTCCATAGGTAGGCAGATAAAATTTCTGCTGAGTAGGAAAATGAGAACTGCCTGTTAAAAGAAATGAGTCACCGAAGAGAAGAGATAACATTTTTTATAGACGGTTAATCAATTTAACACTTATTTTTACGACAGGTAATAGAATTTCAATTATTAAAATTTTTGAAAAATTAATCGTTAATTTTTAAGATGAAAAAATCGTAAAACTTTGCAGGTAACAGATATTAATTGTATTTTTCTGTGTTTATATTTATATAGTGATTTATATTTCAATAATAATAAATAATTAACATTTAACGATACAGTTATATAAACATGGTATTAATAAATTTGATTTAAACAGAAAAAAAAAATTCTGGGCCATGACTATATGGCAGAGAGAACCAGTATATTAGAGTTGTACCAAAGAAGAAATAAATAAAAATATCATTTAAGCAAAATTGTAAATATTCTTGAATTTAAAAAAATATATGAATTAAAAAAAAATGGTTACAGAAATCGGAAATCCTAATCAACCTAAGAGAATTTAGTTCCATAAATAAATAATAAAATGCTTAGGAAACCCAAAGGTTCGATGCCGACACCGAAAATCGCTGTCTACACACCTACCTCCGCCGGTCGCCGTTCAAACCCAGTCCCTTCAGATAAGACAACGCAATCTTCCCATCTTCGCTTCGGTCAACCCCTCGGACGTTTACCAGTTGGCACAGCAAAATGTACCTCCATATCTATTTAAATATATAGATTGATAGATAAATTGACATCTATGAATTGATTAAATACATTTGACTCAATTACAGGTTAGTGTTTTTAGCTCAAATTGTTTCAAAACTATCACTGGATTTCTTCGAATAATTTAAAATATCCAAATCATAAGCGATCGAGCTGTTCGCTGAAAAAATCGTTACATAGCCTTTAGCGGATAACTTAAACACATAATCATTGTGTCAATTCGCTTAGTCGGATAATAATTTGAAATATACAAAAAATAATAATAATAATAAAAAAAAAAGTTTGTTTAAAACCATCAAACTCAAATTCTTTCAGACAGATATCTCTTTTTTTTTTATTACTAATATTTGGTAAACTAGATGTTATATGTTCAATTTTACGCTTTGGTTGATAAAAATTGAGAGGATGGTAAGAATGACAAGACTCACTTGCCGAACTACTTTTCCCCATTTGTACAAGTACCAGTCATCAAATGCACCTTATACACAACTTGTGTATTATTATTTATATTAGTAAGGGGTAGTGTTGCCCAAATGCGAGGACCGAGACGAGTCTTGGTCTTGCAAACTCAGTCTTGGTCATGGTCTCGGTCTTGCAGTTACTTATTAGCTTATGACCATAGAGACATTACTGTAATTTTTTATATTGGAGAAACCTAACTAAGCATAAATGAAAAATTAGAGGAGCTAAATGCAAAAGTATATTGGTTATACTAATTATTAACATATAGTAACTAAGATTGTCAAGTATTAATAACTATTTTGTCTTAATTTTTATTTAAAAAATCGATTTTTCTCATCAGTCCTGGTCTTAGTCTTGGGCGAAGTGCAAGACCAAGACCGATTTTGGGCAACACTAGTAAGGGGATATGTGAAGTTAAATATAAATGGCCCAACTAATATTTTTTTGTAAACAGTCCAAAGACGAATAAATAAATAGAATATAATTTAGTATATAAGATAGGATGTCTATATATATATACTATATATATATAATGTAATATATAATTCAGTTATAATACTACATGAGAAGGCAAAGAAGTCGAGTTCATTGTCCGAACGCTATCAATATGAGGACAACCCAGTAATTTTCTAATTCACTTCTCCTAGGCCAATCCAGTACAGCCATTTTGTTCCATCTTTGTCGAATATGTATGGAGTTTTCCACCAACAGTTTATTTATTATTTATTTTATTTTGACGTCGTTTCAAACAATACTAGGGTCATTTTTAAGTCTTATTTAGTCCTCCATTAAATTTCCATTATTCATAGTCATATAAATTTTTATATTTTAGTTAATTTTCTCAGAAAAATTAATCTGACAGTGAATAATGGAAATTTAATGGAGGACTCAATAATACTTGAAAATGGCCCTAGTGTTGATCGAAATAAAATAAATAATAAATGTTTTTGTTTTTTTAAGTTTCACTAGTTGTTGTTTAAAACAAGGAAACCTACTTATTGCTCGAGTTATTTTCATTAAACCTAACTATTATGAATATTTAATTAGTCACTTATAAAACAATTTCTATAAAAAAGATCTGTGTAAAAAACACAGATTCATTATCACTTTATATGGTGAATATTTGGATAATCATTACTTACAGCCGAATATTTTCTAAATAAAATGCGTATTTATATAACATTTTAATTTTTTACTTTTTTGTTACTCTAAAGGGACTTCGTCTTATTGAGCCCTCCATTAAATTTCCATTATTCACTATTTTTCTGAAAAAATTAACTATGAAAATTAAATTCACTGTCATTTTCTCAGAAAAATTAATATGACAGTGAATAATGGAAATTTAATGCAGGGCTCAATACGACTAGAAAATGATGCTAGTGTTGGTCGAAACCTCGTCGAAATAAAATAAATAATAAATAAAATGTTGGTGGTAAACGGCCTAATTTATAAAAACAATAAACCTCAAGACACCAATTCAAGGAATAATGAACAGAAGAAATGTATATATGAAATTCCTTAAGCAGAGAGAATTATTTAAAATGGTGAAAGCAGACATCAAGAGCTGCAAAATTTTTTATAAAAGCTATGGTCCTTTTTTCCACAGAAAACAAGAAAATTTAATTTTTGTGTTTTTTTTTTTTTTTTAAGTTTCACTAGTTGTTTAAAACAAGAAAACCTACTTATTGCTCGAATTATTTTCATTAAACCTAAATATTATGAATATTTAGTTAGTCACTTATAAATACGGAACGAGTCCTATAAAAAAGATCTGTGTAAAAAACACAGATTCATTATCACTTTATATGGTGAATATTTGGATAATCATTACTTATAGCTGAATAAAATTTTTCTAAATAAAATGCATATTTATGCAGTTTTGTTTATTATCATTCTAGTTCATGAAAAAAAAAAAAAATTAAACCTTGTAATGATTTTTACTGAAAACGTGAGGTGATAGGTTATTAAATCATTTCATTTTTGTACACAACATGGGGCAAAAACTCCAACTTTATTAATATGGGCTTGAATCTTATTAAACGAGGAATTTTCCCTAAAAGCGGAGTATCTGTGGTATAGTTAGAGGGTGATAAAAAAAATCGCGAATGATTTGGATTTTTTAAAACAAATATTAGCTTAGTTTATCCGCTCAAAAGTGCTCTTTAAATGGTTTTAAAAATGACAAACTCTAGTTTAATTTGAAGTAAATTTTGTCTAGTCTACAGTGAGGCAATTGTTAATTACTTCAATCAAGTATTAATTATCACTTACTATTTAACAAAAAGCACAAAACTTGAACTTCCGATTTGTCTACAAAAAATCAAACTATTGTCTATATAAACTTGTTTGTAGCTCTTAAGCACTGTTATCACCCCTTAAATATTTTCCTTTGCTTAAGGGACACCCAGTATACATTTTAACATAGTTTATAAACGCAAATATATGATTAATACAATGTTCAATAAATTTATGTTGAACGAATTTTGGATTTGTTTGAAGTTCCAGTCGAGACAAACATCCCTTTATCGTGTTGCTGTTGTCCTATCCGGATTCAGATTTCGCTGATGAAGCCCTTGGGATAAGAGAGAGGGGGGGTGGAGTAATGTAAGGAGATTGTATAGGGTCAGGATTTTCCTTGGGGGGGAGGGGATCCTATGATGACGAAGCAGATGTTGGATAATAGCTGCTGCATCAGCACATCGCTCCGTTACTTTCCTTTCACTACAATAATATACATTATTCCAACATACAATTTACATAACTATACCTAGACTTTTATATTTGAACATCACAACGAGAGCAGGGATGCAAAAAGAATTTACTGACAAATATCTGAAAAAAAAAATGTATTTGATATCTCACTAAAAATTTACGAAGATAATTTAATTGACAGATCAACGAACAATGAAAGAAATATGAGATAACTTTTCTTTCGTATCTGATGTGTTCATTTGAATGATGTACAGTGTACTTGGTAAGTGTTCTATAGATTGTTGATGTAAGATGTCTCTGGTTTGCAATTTAAGTGATCTTATATTTTTCTCTCATGAAGATGTCTTAATTGAGCACTGGCATGAGGGAAAATAGCGTAAATTTAAACTGCAATTGATAAAGAAGTCTATAAGGTGTAGATTGAAATTATAAATAATGAAAAAACAGTTCATATTTAGCTAAAAACCTGAAATAACAATACGTCTTCATAGTGTGGTGGGCAATGGGGTGTGGCCTTAACCTGTGGTCGTTTGACATATACAGCTGCCAAACACAAGCGTAAAAGATAGTAAAATACGTTTCAAACTAAATATTTTCATTCAGAAACAACATGAAGAGAGCAAATACGGAACTATATTTCTTGGATGGAAGTTTTGAAGCTGAAAATATCTAAGCTAATTATTATTTTCATCGATGACTACTAATGGGACATAAGACATCTACGAGTGTGTTCGATTCCGCAATTAACGTAGCAAACATTTCGCCAAGTCTTGCCAGCCCAAGAGTAAGTTGTACATTTATGTTATCTTACCTTTATCGTTACATTCTTAGTTAAATAACGATTTTAGAATTTTTCAAAGTTATGTCAATTACAACCGACCCCCTGTCCATTACTAGAACAATTAAATTTTGGCGTGTCCATCACTAGTGCAAACAATTTTTTTTTAAATGGAGATTATAACTGAATATTTGAATATTTTTTCAATTTTTAAGTGTTAAATAGAAAAAGTAGACACTAGAGATTCTAAATCTCCAACGGAGAAGTTTATAACTATAATAAGTACGGCAGCATAAGTCAAAAAAACAAAACAAAAAAATCCTTAGCTATGTCTATCACTGGTGCGTATCCCCTAGTTCACATTAAGTACAAATTCAACATAATTATTGTGAAAAGAACGAATTCGATTGTATTATAGTAGAAATTTAAATTTTTTATATATGATATTTACAACTGTATTAAGAAAGAATGCTAAATCAAATGTGATAACAGAAAAAACGAAACATAAAAACACTTGTTGAGAAACTATCCACTAGTAGCACTCGAAAAAAAAAATATATATTGACAATATAAGATCTCGAGGCCATCTTCTTTTCAGACGCCTCGGAGGATTATCAGGGATCGAATAGGAAGCAAGGTTAGAAACGAGAGGGTTCGGATGGTTCTGAAGTTTATTATGGAATGATAGGTATCTGGATTGGGCCAATTCGGAAATAAAGAACATTAAGATCTTTATGGATGATTTTATTAGTGACAAAATAAGGAGCATTGAGGATTTTACGAAGGATTTTGGATTGTAAGGATTGGATGAGTGAGGAATTCGATGGCTTAGTGGAGCTCCAGAGCTCAACTCCGTCAGTCCAGATAGGCCTTATTGTAGTCATGTATATGAGTCTTTTGTAATTAATAGGAAGATTAGAGCGTTTGTCTAGTAAGTGCTGGAGTAGTCGGGAACGTTGAGCGGTTTCTTGTCGTTTCAGTCTGGTATGGGGATTCCAAGTGGAGTCCAAGGTACCGGATTTGTTCAACAGGGAAACGGGGTTTTATTAAAGGATACTGTAGGACAGAAAGTCATAGGTTTACGAGGAAGGGTAAAGGTGATTTGACGAGATTTATCAAATTTAGAATTTTAAATATAAATTTATAAATATATGTTTAGACAGCTATAGGATTTTTATTATTATTTTTATGTGCTTTTAGATACACACCAAAAAAGACTAAAATTGCCTTAGCTATGTTCATCACTGATGCGCTTAACCTAGTTAAATACACACTGGCATTTAATAAAGTGTTGCTTTTTTTTCGATCTTTCCTAATTAATTTACATACTAAAAATTTGTTTGCATTTTTTATTTTATTTTTAGTAATTGCACGATTTACAATGCCAAAAATCCGATTTATTGTCAGTAACATAAATTATAGTTCTTGTCGCCGTGGTAACTTGTGTTCCTAGACTACGGCTCTCGGTATGCTAATTCGAACAGAACGACGTTGCAAGAACCCCAAGGTCTTTTTTATCTCTGTCTCATTACTGACATTTGAATTTTATATTGAGCCATGTTCCTTACCGGCGACGTCCCTTCCTACACACACTATGGCAGATCTGATGCTAATTCTATCTAAGGACGCTGCTGGCAAGAGAACAGATCGCCTCGTGTAAACAATCCGCCGCCCTTGTATCCAATTTATCATCCCGTCGGTTAATGGTTTACAAACATTATACTCGGAGCAAATGTCAAACAAGGTCAAGACTTGCAGGCCACAAACACACTCTCGCAAACCTCATCGTCTCAAGGCGCAGGCGGCCTTTCGACATTTGCATACAAAAACAACTCAATCGTCTGATTTTTTTTTATCATTATTTTATTGAAATTTACAACTGTAAACATATATACAACCAGTAAATTTGTAAAATTAAACGAAGGTACTTGTGAAGAAGCTACCCATTGCTAACACTAAATAAATTAATTTAGGAGGTTACTTGGCCATCTTCTTTTCAGATGCCTCAGAGGGTTGTCAGGAATTGTGTTGGATGAAAGGTTACGAACTAGAGGATTGGGGAGACTAAAGAGTTTGGAATGAAAAGAGAGTTATATCTAGTTCGGGACAAGTCTTCCACAAGAGGAATGTTGAGGTCTTTATGGATAATTTTATTTGTTACATAATTAGGAGCATTTAGGATTTTACGAAGGATTTTGGATTGTAAGATTGGAGACGGGAAGAATTCGATGTTTTAGTAGAGCCCCTAAAGCTCAATACCGTATGTCCAAATGGGCCTAATGATGGTAGTGTAAATGAGTTTTTTTGTAGAATATTGGAGGTTTAGAGCGTTTGTCAAGTAAGCGTTGTAGTAGTCTGAATCTGTTGGCAGTTGCTTGTTTTTTAAGTCTAGTTTGAAGTCGTCTGATTTAACTGTATCAAAATTCAAATCGTGTGTTCTTTTTACTGGTTTAATGGAACTAGCTCAGGCTGGTAGTATTGTTTTAAATCGATAGATTACCGTTAAGAACGATAGTGAAATTAAAAAAAAAAATGTATTTACACTATATACAGGGTGTCTCAGTTCATAATGGCAAAAATTTGGGGAGTTATTTTAGACAAAATTTCCAAGTAAAAAGTTCATTTGGTGCATGGGTTCCGAATGTAAAAAGAGTTTTTGTGTCTTAATGAAGATGGTTATTTTTCTTATTTAATGACAAGAAATTTCTTAAAACTGTTCAAGATAATTACATTCTAGATACACCATCGTAAAGGAGTCAAAATTTTCGTCCCTGGTCTGAGGTATCGAAGCTGTATTTTAAAAGTAGGTTAAATTTTTGAAATAATTGTTATTAGAAACATATGGAGGCATAATTGTGTACCGATCGAGCTATTTGTTGTTCTATCTTTGAAGAGGATCCCATAGTTAAGTAATAAAAATAAAAACATAAAAAAACCTGGATCGAAACGTCGAATAAACACAGAAGCAATGAACATTTAGTAGTTTATTAAATAATTAATAAATAGCCGTATTCCCAATTAAATAATTATGTTTAAATATATATATATATATATATATATATATATATATATATATATATATATATATATAAACATATAAAATATATATATACTATCTTTAGGGCTGAAGCCCTACAAAATTAAACCCTTAAAGCTAGTGGTGCAAATGAATGATATATTAAATAGGATTTACTACTAATAGAATTTACATGACCTCTCCATCCAAACATGTTGAGATTATTAACTGCGGCCATCTTTTTGAAATTTTCGCCACTCAAGTATTACGAAGATAAGATGGTACTAAAGTTGAGAGGACTCAAGAGGGACCAAGCGTGGGCGAGATTACTAACTTTAACGAAAACATCTGTTCGTGCCTCGACCAACGCCGTGCCACCTTAATCCAGGACAGGTCAGCCTTAACCTATCCTACTGGAAAAGTAGGTAACATTTATCATAAAATAACAAAATTGTCAACAACAGCCGAACTGGATAATGGTGTCGATACGAAAAACATGTTTGAGACATGAAAGAAAAAGAGATAAAGAAATCAGGTTTACGGTTTCCAAGGTTTGAGGAAAAATGGACCAATTTTAATGAACCTAATGTTTTTATTAAAGTACTTTCAAAATATGTTTTTTTATGTTACACGAAAGATATCATATGGACATATTCGGTCTGAGAAACGTACACCATGATCGTCATAAAAAATGTCTGCCGAGTAGTTTCAGTTTAGCTTCCTCACCTTCCATAACCATTTATATTAGTTACATAATCAATTATATTTCAAACTCTATGTTTTGTAGTTTGTGAATAAAATCTACAGGAGAAGATTTTTTTTTAAATATAGTCTAGTCAAAGATAAACGCAAACCATAGGGAACGAATAGACGAACTTTGATTGAATCGATACTGGACGCATTTTTTTTTATAATTTCTTTAAATTTAAGAAACTTACTTATTTAACAGTTGGTGGAATTGATAACAGACAATTTGAATAATATTTTCCAAAATTTCTTGAAATATAGAGTGACCCCTAGGTAAAGGGAGATGTTTAAAAGAGTGATAGCAGATCGATCCCACACAGAAAATGAGGAATTTTAAATTTTGCGTTGTTTTTTTCAAGTGCCATGTTTTTTTATTTCATATGAAGCGATAACTAAAAAAACATATATTTTAGGCAAAGTAAACTAGGGATTTTTAATTCAGAGTTAGTATTTTTTAAAAATCATTTGGGAATAGATGGACTATAGATGATACGCTTTCAGAAAACCTTTCTTTTCCTTTCTTATGTACATATTGCGTGAATGAATACTATAGCCGTAGTACCAATGCCTGCAGTGTGGCAGACTCAATACTCAATAAAAGCATTATAAAAAAATTTAAATAGATAAAGATTGCCGACCTCCAAATTGAAATCGTTCCAAATTCGACAATTTTCGAAAGTAAAATACTTGTAGGTTACGATGAGATGAAGCGATTTACGAAGTTTCAGCAGGATGTTCATAATTACATAAAAATGGGTCTGTACCACTGACTATAGTGTTTTAAAACAAATATCGGTTATGTCAGTTAATTATTATTGTACTAAGTGATCAAATATTTTTTCTAATCTTAATATATCATGAAAATAATTGTAGTGATGAGCGGGTTTTATTATAACTTGCAAATAGTTTATTTTTTTGTGTGTTGTTCCTTTAACAGACCCTCCAAATGTCAAAAGGATTTTCTGGATGTCTGGTTCGTTAAATCAATGAGAGTCCTCCCTTCCTATTCATGGTATAAGCATTGTTGTTGTGTGATGCCAACTGCTGAGGGTATCAGGAAATAAAAGACCCAACACCAGAGAACCTAGAGGGAGTATCGATTGGGTGAACTAGAAGAGAAGTTTGCTATAAACAACTGAATTAGTCCTAACAGGTAGGACGCCAGATTAGATTGAGGTATATTCTACGTATAAACCAAAAACCTACGGTTCAAGTTTTGAAATAAAACAGAAAACAAAAATTAATCATTCGACGCTGTTTGTTCCATCGATACCGAGACCAAATTAATACAAGGTGTTCAGGAAGTAGAGAGAAATATTTTAAGAGCTGCTCGCAGAGCTTAAAAGCTACAAAAATGTTTAAAAAGTCCTATTTGCCGCAGCACTTTGTTTGTGACAAAGTAAGGAGCATTGAGGATTTTGGATTGTAAGGATTGGATACGAGAGGAATTCGATGGTTTAGTGGAGCCCCACAGCTCAATTCCGTAAGTCTAAATTGGTCTTATTATAATTAAATGAATTTAAAATACATTTTTATTATCCTGGGACTTTTGACCCTTTAGGACAAATTATAGATGCAGAGGAAATGCCTGTACGGCCATAAAATTAAATAAAATAATTACAATGCTCATTAAAATAAAATTTTTGGAAGAAAAATAAAACAAAACCACTAAGTACATACAGATATATACAATACAAACATGTGAAAATAAAACAACATAATTAAACAAAACCAGTTCTGGAGAAACTTAAAAAGTTCTCTTATCTACTTTTCATGATCAATCTGGTTGGGAAAGAAGTAAGTGCTTAAAAAAGGAGAGATTTAAATGAGGAAACTGATTGCGCATGTCGGATATCGAGAGGGATGGTATTATATAAAAAAAATATTATAATCATGTATATGAGTCTTTTGCAATATACAGAGAGTTTAGAGCGTTTGTGTAGTAAGTGCTGGAGTAGTCGAAAACGTTGAGCAGTTTCTTGTCGTTTTTGTATGAGGATTCCAAGTGAGGCGTTTGTACAGATGGAGTCCTAGGTATCGGATTTGTTCAACAGGAATAAGTGGGGAAATTTTTAAAGGATATATTTTATATCACATAAAATATATATTCCACGGTTTCCTTTCGAGCATTCAGCGCTTAGATTTACAACTCAAAAGGTAGAAAAAGTTATTCCAAAGACGAACCGGGAGTTTTCTCCCGTGGTGCAAGAACTCCAATACCATATCCCAGCCCATAAATAAGGAGTTCCTTTGAAATCCTCAAAAAGTCTGGCCGTTAACGGATAATCGGAGTGGTAAAGTTAAGGATTTTTGGGGTCCCTCATTCCAGAGTTTACGAGCGGGCTATTCAGGGAACGTCCTGCCTGGCACAATGGGCAAGTCTACCCTAACAGCCTATTCCTTTTGAAATAAGTCGTTTACATTTAAAAAAAAAAAAAACAGGATTGATAAATAAAGATACATAATGATAACTTCCAAACAACAAATATTAGTTTAATAAAATAGAAACATAAATTTATTATTTGAAATAGGTTAATACTGGTTTACCTCTGCAAAAACTCTCACATTAGATCACTTTCCTTAATGTATTCAACATTTAATAAGATTCAATAAGAATAAATAAAATAATTGTGGATTGTTGGTTGACTTGAATAATGGTTGTTGGTTTTAAATGGTTGGGCGATCAGTAAAAAAAATAGTAAAAATAAATAATTATATATTAAATACCGCATTCCGATTGCTTAAATTCAAATTAGTCATAGAGCTCTAGATGTCATACTAGATTTATAACTGGGCATGACATCAACTTCTTTAGACTTGAAGACACTACTCCCACATACCTGATGTGACCTTTCTTTGACCTCCGTCCCAATGAACTTGCATTTTTTTTTAACTTTAAACAGGAGTTCCTCAAGCTCATGTGTACGTT